TGACATCTTTAGACAGCTTTAAAAAAGCTGTCAAGACGGATCTCTTCCCGCAGGCCTTTCCAGAATAGTTTACCCTGGCCTCAGGAATTCTCAGGAATTCTCAGGTTTTTTTCCAGGAATTCCTCCTAGAGGCTCCTTTTAAAGTTTCATGTAAAGTGGCACAAGGTCGCTGTTTTCTGCCCCCTCTTCCTGTTATTAATATTGTTGCAGCTAACTTCCTGTATTTTTATTCTATTGATTTTTAATTCTATTTGATTTAATATTTTTATGGGGTTAGGGAGTGGGTTAGGATGGGATTGGGATGTAATATATTTTTAACTTGTTAGCCGCCCCAATTGTTCTCAGATGGGTGGGATATAAATAAATTTTATTATTATTATTATTATTATTATTATTATTCAAGGTGACTTGTGGTTCATGTATTTCATAGGGTTTGCTTTGGCAAAATTCAGGTGGTCTTGCATGTTCCCTTTTCTAAAATATAGCCTATAGCTCCTGGTATTCATTCATTGACAGTCTCCCATCCAACTACTAAAAAGGACTGCAAAATCACAGGTACTTGGTTGGTGTGTGCCTTCAAGTCATTTCCGGACTTATGGGGACCCTAAGGCAAACCTATCACAGGGTTTCTTTAGCAAGATTTTTTCAGATGAGGTTTGCCATTGCCTACCCTTGAGGCTGAGAGTGTGTGACTTGCCCAAGGTTACCCAATGGGTTTCATGGCCAAGCTGGAAATTGAACCCTGATCTCCAAAATCATAGTCCAGCATTCAAACCAGTACACCATGCTGGCTCACTGGTGTTACCCTCTCCAAAATGAATGGTGTGTCTTTGATGCCATGGATCGAGGGATCTGTCATGCTGAAATGAAATCTTGCAACTTTTCGAAACCAGACTTCAGCATCCACTAGACTTTTGAGGCTGATCATGAGCTGTCTACAATGGATACTGTTGGCTTCCAGGTCCAGTAGGACAGTAAATCTATTTGGGGCATGATCCCCCCCCCCTGTAAAATAGCTTTCCAAGGTGCTGAACCTGTTTTAAGGATAAGGCTCAGCAAGTCAATAAGTGCTTTAAAGTTGTGATTAAAACCTGGAGCCGACTTACTGCCCCACTGGCTTGGAAGCCACTACCATCCGGTTGTTGTTGTGTGCCTTCAAGTTGTTTCCAACATGGTGACCCTAAGGCAAACGTATCACAGGGTTTTCTTGGCATGTTTCAACAGAAAGGGGTTAACTCAGTGGCATTCCTGCACCAGGTGGGACTTTTGGGGGGCGGACTTCTGGAAGTGGGATTTCCACCTTCCTGGGATGGGACGTCCGGAGCAAAACCCAAGGTACACTCTCTCAGCCTCAGGCTACCAATAGCAACCCCCCCCCGATGAAACTTGCTAAGAAAACTCCATGATTAGGGTTGCCATAAATTGGAAAAGACTTGAAGGCACCACATACCCAAGTCACATTCTCTCAGCCTCAGAGGATGGCAATGGAAGTCCCACTCACCCCCGATGAAGCTTGCCCCATGATAGTTTCACCTTAGGGTTCCCAGAAACCGGTGCTCGGAAGAGAGGGAGAGTGCTCTGGGTCCATACGTTGGAAACGCCTTGGAGGCACACAACAACAACAGCAACAACAAGCAGCATACTAAAACACAGACGGCACAATACAAGAACAAGAACAAAAAGTGGTTTGAGCATGCAACTCTGGAGACCAGGGCTCGAATCCCAGCCCGTCCATGAAACCCACTAGGAGACAGACCTTGGGCAAGTCACACTCTCTCAGCCTCAGAGGAAGGCAATGGCAAACCTCCTTGGAAGAAATCTTGCCAGGAAAACCCCATGGATGGCCTCATTACACCCCACAAAACTACAGTTCCCAGAATCCCATAGCAAGGTGTGGACCTTAT